ACAGAATTCGATTATACGCAGGCCCCGGCGTGTGGCTTTACGCAACAAACTAACAAACAAAACATTCGGAATCTTGGAAAAGGTTCTTGTTCTCTTGATTGTTGATTTATGCCTAAAATCAGCACAAACATTTCGGCTGCGAATAGTTATAATTAAGATGCAGAAAAACATATCAGAAATTGATCCGTAAATGTACATATACAACTTGCAATAAGGCATGTTCCCTGCACACAGAACGACAAGTACATAGCGACTTTAAAGCTTATTCTCGAATTCCTTTCAGATTATCCGTTTTTGGAGTATTCTTGCTCAACACTATGTATGAAAAGTGTTAATTAAAGCTTAACAGGGTGTACAATCCGGTAAATGATGCATTCATTTCAATTAATAAGGTTGGTTTAACGCTGTATTAATTATAGGAAAACTGTAATAGTCGCCCGAGAACGCACAATTCCACCTACAATCTCGGAGGATTAATAAAAATACAGCTCTTGCAATGTAAGTTACAGAATTTGGATTTAGGATAAAATGATAATGTGGAGTAATGCATCCATAATTAGCTCTGGTGAGCTTATGTTATCGCCTGCTTGTGATCCGTAAAGAACTAACTTCTCCGGAGAAACCGCAGGACCATTGAAACATGTACTTCACATGCTTGCTCTCTGATGTCCAAAATGGCCGCCATTTTAAGTTCTCTTAAAATGCATCTCTTTGCTCTGTAAATGTTCACCTTTGAAGATGATACATGAATGAAGCTGCAATTCTGCATGCGTGTTATTATTGAACGATACCATGATGCAGTGTAGCTGGTTCATCTGACATTGTGATTTTATTGACATTCAACAACAAAAACTCAACTTTCATTCATATTCCTCTTTTCCACAAAAGCATCTCACCTTAGTAAACAGGTTTGTTTGTTTGTTTGATGTTTAACGTCGCACTCAGCAATGTTCCAGTTATAGGACGGCGGTCTGTAAATAATCGAGTCTGGACCAGACACTCAAGTGATTGATATCATGCGTATCGATCCCGCATTTGGGATACGATGACAGAAACATTGTGCGTATGAATGACTATTAGGAGATTCAAGATGGTGCAGCAACAATCCGTTTGGATCCGGTCTCTCCGTTTCAGAATCACTTGAATTAATATTTAAATTAAAACAATGAATTTGATTTTTTTAATGCATCATTCGTTTCAGACGAAAACCTAGAAACCAAGATAAATAGTTTCATGTGAGTTCTTAACTTAGATTTTTATGGTTCAATCTAATCAAAATAACATCCTTTGCTCCAATTCGATACATCTCTGTCAAAATCCAACAAACTCTCGATGTTGGCTGTGGTTTCTCAAATATCAAATTTCTTAATTATCTGTAGGCCGTCCGAAGCATTCGGAGCAGCGTATCTGATTTCTTTGTCTCGAGAACAAATTACCCAACATGTCCTGAAGTGCACCAGAAAAAAATGAAGGTCAGCTGATCTTGTCACATCTTCCATTACCATTCAGCATTTGTCTTATAGTTCTTCCACCTACATGTATATCTATTTGCACTTAGCACTTGTATCCTCTCCGTTGTCATAAAGTTATATAACCTGTATATTTCAGTCAAATTTTCGAATCCAAGTTCAAAACTGGTAGGGGCGGTGGGGTAGCCTAGTAGTTTAATCGTTCGCTTTTCACGCCGAAGACCAAACAACAATCGTTTATTAACCACATGTTGTGAGACAATAAATTCGTACAAAATATATGTGGTACAGGGTTGAATGGATAAAGGTCAACCCGCTAGGGATATCCACGAAATATTTTTAACATGTATATAAAACAACGAGAATTCATTTTGATTTTAAAAACCAAACTAAAACCTCACATACGTAAAGAGAGGATGATGGATAATCATTTTACAATTACAAAAATGATTACAGAATCCTCCATTATAATTGGCCCTCAAGCGAGACCAAGCTTTATGTTCCTGGTCCAATCCTCCGTCTCACCGGGTGATATTTTCTCTGTAACCAAATTATTGACATTTCTGTTTTCATAATAGATATGCCTTGACCACATTCCCTTTTATGGACATTTCGCGATATATTAGAGGAGAATCAAACTGTAGACAAACCTAACCCTCAAAACAAATAATGTTATGTTTAGCAATGGTTGGTGGGGTAGCCTATTGCTTTAGCGTTCGTTAGTCATGCAGAAGACCCGGGTTCGATTCTCTAGCTACATGGGTACAATTCGTGAAGCCCATTTCTGGCGGCCCCTGCCGTAATATTGCTGGAATACTGCTAGAAGCGGCGGAAAACCATAGAATTGTTCACCTGAAAAAAACCACGGTTCTAAAAAGGGAATTGCATCGGACATCATTTTTGTCAAATTTAGAAATGTCATCCACATGTCTTCCATAAAACGTTTTGAAAGCTTTACCGAGGCCTTGAATGTTGTAACCTTGATCAAACATCTTTTGAGCAGGAGTCGTGTGATGCCTTATTAACACAGGACATATACATGTTACTGAGGACTATGATTAATTTTCTTCATTTATATATGGTAGTCAGACGTACGGCCAATATCCTATTGTGCTTGATGACTCGAATAACTCATTGTATAGCATGTACTATAGGCACACAAATATTGGTGTGTTTGGTGGTAAAGAGGAACTATTATTGGGTGTTAAATAACACTACTTCATAAAGTATTTAGTAATATAATACTGTATTTATCTGAACATGTGAGAGTCATGTCACGCGGGTGAAATAATAAGTTTAAATCGAGTAAGAAAACAGTTTATCCTTACCAACTACCTGTAGACGCTATAGCTTTGAGAGAAAGATCACAAATATCAGTAAGAAAATACATATAGAATAATAGATCAAATGTCTTTTCCATTCACCTGAGAGCATATGTAAGACCACGTCCTGAAAGTACGTTTATTCTTACCACTGTTTTTAAACGTAGTATATTTGTTTCGTTTTAATTATGGCTTAATTGCGTACCATTGCCAGCAGCTGAAGGGATGGTGTAAATCATGCTGGGGAGCCGTGCAGGTAGCAGAAGTATCGTAAGTCCTCACGGTCCCCAGTAAGGTGGCCTAACTTTGGCTGCTGGCGATCTGTAGCCCGTTTTTATAATGTATTGTTGAATAATAGGTTATTCTTGTAATTGTTCTAAACTAGTTTTACTTATAAACTGTGATATGCTAGTTGTTATACTGTCCGTCGATGACAGGTTTTTTATTTTAGTGTCAGTATTATAAATGTTCTCGTCACGATATGGCTGAAATATTGCCGATGTGACGTAAAGCTTTAACTCACTCACTCATTTTCCATTCAAATAACTTGTTTATCTTACCTCGTTATCTGACAATGTTGTGGATTCACATTTGTTATGCAGTGCAACACAGCTACCCCGGAAAAGATGGAGAACAGTTCTTTCAGTGATATTAAAGTGGCCAGTAGTGATATTAAAGTGGAGCAGGGGAAAGCTTTAAAGCCTGTGTTGTCATGTGATATAGGCAAACGCATTCTGCATATATGAGACTGGCATGATTAAATCGAGTAATAAACCAAAGAAGGAATTATAATAGTAAATGATAATATAATCAACTTGATACAATTGTAAATATTTCGAAATCTTGTATTACACTTTGTTGTCTTCTGAGAGGAATTTGTTTTGACAGTAAACATTATATTTCGTGGATTAGCTTAACGGATACATAGCTTGAAATATTGAAATATATGTGATTATTTCAAAACAAAGGATTTGTCAGTATTTATGTTTGGTTTGTTACTGTCGAGTTTTAGTCAAACAAAATCAATATATTGATGTTAATAAAATAGATTTTCAAATTGTCAAAATATACGCTTTGCAATTTATTTGGTATCAGTTGTCTGTTTTTGCCACAAATGCAAGGCCTTCTTGGAACGTAAAACAATTATACACATATAGGGGTGCGGTAGTCGGGGCGGGATTACAAAAATAGTATATTATTAATATTATCATACTAGTTCCCTGTCCCGTAGGTAGAACCAACCAAAAATAATTTTTACTTGTAGGGATTTGCACTTCCTTACAAAGCAGACCCATTTGAGTTTGTTTTGATTTGGCTTCTGTTTGTTTCATCAATATGAACATCCTCATTTAAAAAGATGATAAGACTATATGACAATAAAAGGAATCCTAATATTAAGCCAAAAGAATACAGGTGGAACAGACTTGCGGAACGATAATGGGGATGTTACGAGACAGCTTAATTCATTGTATCGGGTGAACAGACAAATGTTAGAAAATATTTATTGAAAATTTTAGACATCTCTCTTACATTTAAATCACTGAACTTGAAGAGTATTCAGTGTGGGGAACTTACACGAACTCAATGACCCAAGCAACATTGTTAACTGGACAGACGTCACAGAGCATTGTCTCGTTGGTGTGTCTTATAGTCAGGTAAACCAAAATTAAGTCAAAGTGCATTGCGAAAAGGTCTGTGTAGCCCTTTGTTTAGTATCGCTGACATCTCCCGCAGTTTCGCAGTGGTTTATAGTAACACCATTGATCGATAAAAATGGATCTAGGATTCAACTTTTTAAGTTACTTTTGGGGGTTCATTCGAAATGCAATATCAGAAAATACATAAAATATGGTTTATATTCACAAGGCTATACATATTCAACATATTTATTTAAATAGAAAACGTGTAGCATAATGTATAAAGCAATCATTTCTATTAACTGAAACACGAGTACAGCTAGGAAAAACGGAAATGTACATTGTCGTTGTTAATTATGAATTAAGTCTGTTTCTCAGCAGGATGAACATAATTAGATACGCTCTAATGATTCTATTAACCATATCCATTGTATCATTACTCATGCAATGATATTCCCGAACATTGTTTATTTTGTTATGCTCCGGCTGTCACTGTATTATCCCTAATTGAGGGACATCAAGAGCATTACATGACAACATGTTGCAAGATAATGGTGCTGTATTTCCTATAACATATTGTGATATCCTGAACAATGATGTGCCAGTTATCGTTTTCAACTAATTAATACGCCCTACAACGTCCATTGGAGATATTGATTCTTGAAGTTTGGCGACTGGGGCTATGATTCTATAATAGACAACGTGACATTTTACAACAGTCTCGGGAACTGATGTCCAGGTAAAATATGTATACGTAGAAATATCTTATATTGCTACTGGAAGTGAAGCGCAAGCAGATAGAACTATGATATGGTTGTATTCTAGCCTATTTGCCTTGGGTTTAAACACAACAAGGTAAGATTTGTTTTGTGCATATTTTCCTTGATGTAATATGAAGTCGAGAAATCGTATCTGTTAGCAAGGGATCTAACTGCAGTTTTACGCTGTAACTTTCAATAACCGTATCCCTATGCATAATTTATGTCAGGTTTGCTGTGTCGAAAACCCGGGTACTCTCCCAATGTCAGTCAACAGATTGGGAGGAACAAAACCTAAGGCACCGAGAACAATGGGGAGTTGGACAACTGGGTACTTGGAATGCAAGCGTGACATTTCGAAAACGATGTCTGCATATTTGCCATGTTTTTTCCCGAATCTTGTCAATCACATTAGTGTCAAACGGGACTGAAACTTCAGTGGTACAAATGATTTCATTGGATTTATTAAAAAAAAGGACAAGATCAGGTTTGTAGGCCTAGATAGGTCTGATGCCCTGTACGGGACTATTCCAAAGACTTTTGTATTTATTGTTGTAGTTGTTATTATTATTATTATTATTATTATTATTATTATTATTATTATTATATCAATACTGAGCATATGATAAGACAAGGCTGTTCGCGGGTATGTCCGTACCAGTTCTGTGAACCACAGAATGTTTCCAGTGTCTCTGTTGAATGTTGTAAGCATGTCTGACCTTTATTGATTCGGGGTTTGATACAACTCACTGCATAACGGAAAACATTTAAACGCACTGTTGTTACATGGACATCGCCACATCCGACACAGAACATCCACGATCAGGGTTAAAGCATTGCCTGTAACCCGGGTTGAAATTCCATGTCCAAATTAATTGGTGCAATGCCCATTCCGGGTTTGAAGTCTGTAAAGAGTGGCCTAAAACCTACTCATTGCCTCGACGATTATGACAACAGCTACGGCCTTGCCTGTAGCAAGAGTATGAATCAAGAACATAAATTATAGTCCTCAGCTATATGCCCTGTTTATACATTATTTTAAACACAACACATCAATCAATATTTTCCATCAAATTCATTCTAAAGCTTTTTATTTTGTAACGAATGCCACAAACTCCGAGTGATACAATCTACCAATCTTTTGGAACATTTAATACCACACAATACATTTTGTTGCCATTCAGATACGAACAATTACAAATCTAGGAGAGTAACTGGAGACGAGCCATGGGAGTGACAGGCTCCACCAAATCAGATGGACAAGCTCTTTTGCCTAAAGGGGACGCGAAGGAGAGTATCAAGAAGAAGTTTATTATCTCCGCGATGGTCATATCAAACTTTATTGCATGGACAGGTTTATCGTTGATGGCCCCATTTTTTCCAATCGAGGTATGTATAGAACTAAACAGGTGAGATGAGCTTACACTACAGCCGACTATTTCGTCAAATTCCCTCTTGGGCATCATAGAACTCCATAGTTATTTTTTGTGGCATATTTGCGTCCCAAACAACACCGAATGAGGGTAATAAAACATTACATTAGGTCATGCAGGAATACGCGGATTATTCGTACCCAGTCGTATTCGTACTTTAAAGGCACACCACGATAATCTTCTGCGTTGTAGTGAGACATGGTGATTACATACGAATAATCTGAGATTTGGGCCTACCAGCAGCGGCTTACTGGCACGTCAAAGATATGTTTCTCTCCACTAATGCTCCTGTATATTACTGACCACGTTGGTATTCCGGAATAGTGAATGCACAAATCAACCCATGCATGTTATGGGAGGTCACTTGATGATCATGGGGTCAGCCACGGTGACTTTGTCAGTAGCGTGTCATCGTAGAGCGAGGGTCGATGCTCATAATGTCAATCACTGGATTACCTGGTCCCGACTGGATTATTTACATGCCAAACTCAGCTTAAATATGTTTGAGTGCGGCGTTTAATATAAAAGAAAACCTCATATAGCTTGACTATTGCTGAGTGCGGCGTTAAACAACAAACAAACGTACAAACAAACAAAAAATGGATCAATGACATATCATGAATAAGCACATACATGCAATTATCCGTCGGATAATGACGATTAGTCTTTTAGGAGCTGTATTTATATATATCATGTCATCGTTTTTGTATAACATTTATGAAGTCTGACTTTTAACTTCTCAAGCTGGTTCTGAAACCTGTGCAAAATCTGTAACATGGAGAATAACACCATTGCCATCTCTCTCCAAGATATCGGTAGTATTTATACACAGCAAAAAGTTAATAAAGTAAATAAATTGTTAAGCTTATCTCGCATGTTTTATATTCGGAGTATCAACTTCTTCCTTCTTGCCGCCGACTACAAATGCCGATGTTGACAACAAACAGGGCCCGGAATTCATTCATACCAGCTGGTATCAGGTTTCATAATAGGTTTTGTGATAAATCATTGTTCAGCATTTGTTTGCTTGTGCCAGATTTAATGTTAATTACGTTTGTGTGCTCTTATTTATTTGTATACTGAACAACCAAAGTTCCTGTGACATTGAATAAGATTTAAATTTAAATTTTTATGTTTTTTACCAAATCTAAACAGTTTCGGTTTGCAACAGATAAAAGACTTCTGTAAGTCTTCAAATGGTTTAATTTGCCATCTGACTTCAGAAAATGCGTGATTTCATAAAAAAAAACAATGAACATGCCAAAATGTCAATTTGCAAATCAATCGCATGTGTGTCCACCTCTGGTTGCGATGCAAGCAACACATCTTCGTCTCATGGAATGGACCAGGCGTCGCACAAAGTTCTGTGGGATATCTGTCCATATCTGCTGGAGCATGTTTCGAAGTTACTGGAGTGTCTGTGGGACACGTGGTTGACGTCAAAGGCGCCGATCCATCTCATCAGACAAGTGCTCAATTGGGGAGAGATCAGGGGAACGAGCCGGCCAGGGGATGACATTCACGTTTTTGAAGAGAAGCCCGACAAGTCGAGCAATATTAGGCCGGGCCGATGATCTCGTCGCGGTAGCGCTGTCCATTGAGATTTCCCTCTAACACTATCAAACGGGTCCTCTGTCTTGCTGTAATCCCACCCCATGCCATAACGCTACCGCCCCTGAACCGATCTTCTTCCATGACACAATGATTGACGTAACGTTCACCTTGACGTCGGTACACTCGAACCCGTCCATCGCTGTGGCTGAGGTGAAAACGAGACTCGTCAGTGAATAGAACTTGTCCCCATTGCATGGCCGACCAGCGTAGAGGCTGTCTGCACAACTGTAGACGTGCTTGACGGTGGTTGACGGTAAAATGGGACGTCTGGCGGGTCTTCTGGCGACAACCCCGGCACATCTGAGGCGACAACGTACGGTTCGTGAAGATATTCTTCGAAGGCCAGAGAGGCTTCTTGCAGTCACTCTTGCTGGCTGGAATCGATTTCGTAGGTGTGTTGTTCGAATCCAGTTGTCTTGTCGATTATTGGTTACGCGTGGCCTGCTACTCTGAGGATGGTCTTTGACTGCATTCGTCTGTTGCCAACGTTGCCATAAATACCAAATGGTGTTTCTGTGGACGTTACATTGTCTTGCAACATCACGTTGACTCGATCCTGCTTCAAGCATACCAATGGCTCGCAGACGCTCATTTTCGGACAGGCGTGGCATTTTGTAATGTTGAATAATTGCGTAATTTTGTTGTTTTTCTGAGTGGTTGTTGTCAACACGATGCTAAACAATGCATATGGAATCCCGTTAACGCACATGTTTTAATACCCATTCTTGGGTAGTGAGATGCATGGGGCTTGCATAAAAATCAACTTTTGCATGTAATGCATGCTGTTCTGTAGCAGGTGCGTTTTTGTGACTTGATTCCATACATGTACTACAATATTGAAAACCAAACTTTACTTGTTTGAAAAGTACACTCAAATATTGGTGTCACAGGAACTTTTGTTGTTGAGTATATGTGTGCTTATTAATAAGCTGAGACCTTGTAACTCAAATTTCCCTCGGGATAATAACGTGTCATCTTGTCTTATGGTAAACTACCTGTTTCTTTCCAGGCAAAAAAGAAAGGATTGGGGGAAACCCTCATAGGGTTAATCTACAGTAGCTCAGAATTAGTGATCTTCTTGGTGTCCCCGCTAATAGGAATGTTGGTAAGTCAAATGTCTTACAGTTTAGTAACTCTCTAGATTAGGCTGCTCCATAACGCTGATAGATCGACTTTAATAACCTTCTGCTACTGGATTTTGTGCGTCTGATGACCCTCTCCGAAAGTTTCTTTTTACAACAAACATTCACCTCGGCACATAAGGCCTTATTCTCGTGATGCTACATACAGAAGATTCTTCAGATAGATCGGGTCCATCCTCTTTGACTTGTTTGCACTATGACTATTCAACCACGCATAAAAAAAGCATTATAGACTGCCTACATTATATTGGCAGAGTATGAAAGACTCTCTATTCGTCTTTTCTCGAGGATCTAATTGGAATAAAAAGACAATAATGAGGTGAAGGGGGCTTTCTGCAAGTGTCATTCAATTCGTTCATGAACCACTTTGGTTATCTGCTACCTCACACTTATCTAGTATACCAGTCTAACATTGAATGGTATGCTGCCTTGAAATGTGTTTGCATTAAATGCTAAAATAGGAGCAGACCCATCTACAGTTTGACCTTTCAATATCAGATGACTCTTCGCTATATGGCTGAAATAATGCCGATACGACCCCACACATCCCCAAATGCAGAACATCTTTGAAAGAAAATGCCAATGCCTCCAGATAATGTTATGACCACTTCCGGCTTACACACCACACTTCCGGTTTGGGGAAGAACATGATATAGTACATACATTGTATTATTGCTAAAATATATATCACTGTATATCGCCAGCCAGCACAGATATTTCGAAAAGTAGTAAGCAATTCCTGAAGTCAAATTGATGTGGCACCGCATTAACTGATAACAGTAGTGAGTGAACTCGTATGGTTTTACGCCGCTTTTAGCAATATTCCAGCAATATCACGGCGGGAGACACCAGCAATTGGCTTCACACATTGTACTCATGGGGGAATCGAACCCGGGTGTTCGGCGTGAAGAGCGAACGCTGTAACCACTAGGCTACTCCACCGCTCCGTAACTGATATGATCTGCCCGACAAAAAATATAAACGTTATCAAAACGTTACAAGAGTGAAAAGGCCAAAACAGAACCACTTAGTTTGGAAGTGCAGCAGCGAAAACTCACCAAATACCTTTTTCAGGTACCCGTAAAACTGTACGTGCAGAAATGGTATTAAATGCAATTGTTCACTGCCAAACCATCACAGGTAATATAAACGCACAAACAATAAGTCACCTAAAACTGAACAACTTAGAGAGTAGGGAGTGGGTGAAGATATGAGGAGAATGGTGCCAACCACAACCAATTGCAAGAAACTACAATTGCTCATGTGTAACCTTGTTCCATCGTCATAATAACACACATACGGGTAGACCACACATGACGACGCCACATGATGACCGGTAACTGAGCACCTTGCGCAACAGTTTCGTCACAGAAGCAGAAACGGCAACAACAGCATTAGAACACCGCATCAGACGACGGTCTGTGCTAAGACATCTCCGAGTCGCAGATATTGGAGTCTACCGCCTCATACGTGGAATATGGCCTTGACCAATGAACATTGACATCGAAAAGGGTCGGCATTCATGTTTAGCCACGGGAGTCTTTTGCCAGGTAGTATATTACTTGGCCATTGCGCATTTGCATCATCTCAGACATATATAAGTAACGGTGAATTTTCTAAACATTGTTTCTTATTTCAGATATCTACAGCCAGTCCACGTTTCTTCTACATTACCGGCATATTGATAATTGGTTCGACAACGATTCTCTTTGGGTGAGACGCCTTAACGCCTTAATCAATAGGCTACCCCTTTTGTCCGGCTATGGAGGCCAATAATAAACAAGAGGACATTGATGTAGTGTATCAACGTTACCTAGCAAACGTTTGAGATGTTAAAAAGCTCTTACATTGACTATATGCGGGGCTAGAGACATTCCTGCTGAATTCCAGCGTTTTTTATGTGATACATGGAAAACTCTACCTTACTGTATATATGAAATATGTAGGCATAAAACAGTAATCAACCGCACTAACAAGTAATAAACATGTACATATTAACGTCAAACTGATATAGTTGTAAGAATTGCGCGGCATAACATATTATGCAACTGTGGAATGCGTTTTGACTGTCAACGTTTCAGGCTTTTCGTTGATTCATATCATGATGTCAGGGGCTGTGGGGTAGTCTAGTGGTTAAAGCGTTCTCTCGTTTAGCCGAAGGCCGGGTTTAATTCCCCACCTAGGTACGATATGTGAAGCCCATTTCTGGTGTCCCCCGCGGTGATATTGGTGCAATATTGCTTAATTCGGCGTAAAACCATACTCACTCACTCACGTACTCATGACATAAAGTCGTAACCGTGAACATGCAGTTTCAAATTTCGACGTCACAAACTCAACTGTATTTCGACTGATAGTTACGTAGTGTACTGTATGTAGTGGTCGTAAAAGTAATGATTGTCACAAAACAATGGGGATTAACATTATACATGCTTCTTATAAGGTTCTTATGAGATAATATAGGTAAAACGCCAGAGAATAACCACTCACGATTAACTGCCAAAACATATCCCACAGGGCGTAAAAGGCAAATTAAAGTTTCAAATTGTATGAATGGATCACTAAAAATCAGTGATGACATCAGGTGTTTGCGAAAAAAGTATAGTTCTAGTTAAGTTCCATGTAGAGCATATTTATGTACTGTTGCCTTTCTGAACTTCAGGACTTTGGACATGTCTTCGCCTGGCCTTCCCTTCATCGTTACCTGCTTTGCTGTCAGGATGATCGAAGCAACGGGAGTATCTTCATTGATATCTTCATCCTTCCTGATAGCAAGCCAAAACTATCCAGATAACTTAGGGTCGATATATGTAAGACCTCTTAAATAGTATCAGAGACAAATCTTTTGATTTACTGTGAAACTGTTGATATGGTTAATATGTACGACAAGCTTAGTATTACGTATGCTTTATTATTACCCCTGAAGTAAAATTCGTGCATACATTTCGTATATTTTCAGGGTGAGCGCATATCGCTTCTCTGTCATGCTTGGCATTCGATTGTGAACTTTGACCTTTATGAGACCGCTTTCCTTACAGCCATTTCAGCATATTTCGATCTGCGTTTTTCACGCTGGAAATGAAAACTGAAACGACTATAGTCCCTTCGGTATCTTGTAACGGGCCGACCATTTATAAAAATTAATTGTCCCAGAACATTCTTGAAGAAATAGTTATGCTTCATATTGTTGGAATACAGTATACGGTTTTGCAGCTGTAGCTGAACATATATCTGGTCTAATACCAATTCCCTGCCCTCAATAACGGACTCCACATTTTCAACAAACTCTCTCGGTGACCTCCAAATAAAGTTGAGTTGAGTATCAATATTTCAATGTCCAGGAACATTTTAGCTTTGACCGACAACTATAATTAGACTTTAAAGACAGAAACAAATATTTCACTTGGGGCATGAATGTAATTTGATATTGATATTTGTGTATCGTCTAACAACTACCTCTGTTTCAGGGTATTTTGGAGACGGCGGTTGGCTTGGGCTTTATGGCAGGGCCTGCGATAGGCGGTGGATTGTATCAGGTAATAAATAATATAACGAAGTATATGCATTATCAGTTCCATGCATCAGGACGCAAATGCATGGCAAACACAATATCCACTTTAAATAACGAGGTATTATGTTTTATACGGGACGCTAAAGGTCCAGTAGTTTAGCCAGAGTTATAATTATGGACTTGAGAAAGCCGTGTTTACCTGTAATTATATTCAAGTGTAAAGAGAATATCAAATATGTGTCGATAGATTTAAGAGTTTAAGGATGTGCCTTCTAACATGTGAATGTGAGCCTTTTACCGAAGCTGAAATGTCATTTCAAACACAGTACAAGCAGTGTCAAAAGTTCATTTTCGATCAAAGACTATCCCAAAGTAAAGCATTTTCAGGCATTATAGTACTCAACGGGTACTTGACAATGTTATCAGATGACAAGTTAGACTATAGCCGGTTAACTAGAATATTAGGTCAGTTATCTGTCAAACGATCCCACATACGCTCTAAGCATCATCAGTAATCTAGAGCGAGATGTTATTTTCACAAACTTGTTTTAGTCGATTTATCCGCGTTTGAGAGGCTGTAACTGCATACCCTTGACGAAGTGAAACGAATAATAACTCAATTTATCATATCATGGGTAGGGTTCTCGGCACGATAAAGCCAACGGATAAAAACGGTATCATTTGGGGTCATATACGGATAAATACGCAAATATGAAATGTCAGGTAGGTACTACTCTCAGTGTTTACAAACAAACAGCGTCGCCCTTGTCTATCGGCGATCGACTCGAATTAACCATCCTGAATCTGTAGAAACTATAAGGATAATTATTATCATATATGTTGTATCAAATTTTTATCAAACTTTAGTCACAAAAACTAAAATTCTGTGTGTGGTAACTGATGCATTTTAGAAGACTTGGAAACTTTGGCGATATAATTTACGAAACAGATTAGCGAGGTCAATTGCGTGAAGACCTCTGCGGTTTCCCCCAACCTAAAACAGTTGCATTTAGCCGAAATATGTCTGAACTTTTCATTTCATTTCGTCGCTATGTGTACATCTGACACTTCGTAACGTTATGACACGACATAGATTAAACAAACGTGGCGTCTCATGGACTAGGCTTGGAGTAGCTTCCCTTTTATAAAGGGCAGTTGCCGTAGATGGTTTGCCGCGAAAGACAAGTAGAACAGGTATGTGTGGGCAATTGTTATTTTGCCTATATGAAGTTACGCCACTTTCCAAGAAACAGTTTTTAGTTGGAACTATATTGACGGTTGTCACTGCCCGACTGACAAATCACTTAACTTCTGACGTATTAAATTTCAACGCACACATGTCAGGGAAACTTGCAATTTTTAGTTAAAAATTAAAAAAAGTTTGTGAGAGATGGGAACATGCTTTTCGACAACTGAACTTAAGAACATGTTATATGATAAAGAGGTTATCACGCTTGTGTGTTTTGGGATGGTCAATATCCAGTATTAGGAATATACAGTATGTATTCCTCATACAGGATATTTGCTATCATCGCTAGCGTCATAACCTCTTTTCAATTTGTTCTATTACCGAAGTTAAGATGTATACAAAAATGAAATTTTACATGATATTTATAATGTTATAATTATAACGAACAACGATTCTGTCGCTTTTATTCAGATAGGAGGATTCGGTCTTCCTTTCTGGGTTCTTGGTGGCTGCACATTTGCTTGCGGTGTAGTATCGTGGATTCTGCTGCCATCAAAACACTGTAAGTACATGTACATATGTGTGCAAATGTATTTGTTAATGCATCATGATGACACATCTTTATGCTTACATAGGTTGGCCTCAAAGTTTGTTTCTGTTCTTTAACGCCGTACTCAGCAGTATCTCGGAAGCCTGTAAACAACTGAGTACAGCCCAGACAAGCCAGTGGCTGATAACACGAGCAACGACCCACCCTGTCGGGGTATGATGACACGCATTAAACTAAGCCACTCAATCCATCTTAGCCTACCATACATTTATATTGCTCGGATTTGTTTTAACCCGGCATCCTCACGGTGTGGTTGAATATTTAAGTACTAATGATCTTGATCATGATAACGATGTGAAGGTGTGACATTGATTTTATTCAGCAACATCTTTCGCAGAGGTAGATTAAGAAATGTGCAGGGGTTTAAAGACCAGGAGACAGAACTTTGGATCACGATTTCTGATCGGCTAGTGTTAAACCATTTTGAAACTGTAGGTCCAAACACTACGTACAAAGTCTAAGATTGGAATTGCAAGGGTTGTAATGCAGGCCAGTCGCATCGGTGTAATCTTTTATAACTTAAATGTATCAGTATTTAAAAGATGTACTTAAATGGTATAAGGTGTACAGGCCATCAGACCTGACCACCCGATCCATTTAGTCGCCTCATACAAACATAGATTGCAGGGGTCTTATTGTGACAAGCGTGTTGACCATTCCGTATGACCAATGCACAATACACTAATCATGGGATAAAACATGAAAATATGAAATGAAAAAATGGAACGTCTATAGGCGTAAGCATGTGTTGGACATGACTTTGCGCCTGTCATGTATTGAACTCACTGGTGTAATTACGTTCTTTGCATGAATGCTTGAATTCCATTGTCACGATAAGGTGACAATTGTGCATGCAATTGATTTCTACTGAACATTTTGGTCCTCCAGGTAATTATGGAAGTTAATCTTCTGTATATTTTAGATGGGCAGCAATGCAGTGACTCTGAATGCCCATCTAGATGGACCATCTTTAGAAGTCCATGGGTCTTGTTTGGAAGCTTTGTCACCATGTGTGCTTATACTGCGGCCTTAATTTGGATGCCTGTGCTATCGCTGCACTTAAAGGAGGTATTTTGCTTCATAATACGGTTCACATATAAAGATTTAAAGAATGTACTCAAGTAACAGTGACAGTCCCCAGACATAGACATCCTCCAGTACAGTATGAAAACCACATGGAACATCTCTGACACAATATATAGCCACCTATTCAGTAAGGTATACAGTCACCATAGGCACAACTCCAGGAAACTATAAATTTGTGATCCAAATTTGATATCCAAATTAAAACCCAAAGGTTACCCCAGAAATCTGTACGAGCAGAACTAAATTGTAGAATCAGTAAATGAGCCCACAAGATCATTGAACATAATTTACAAACTAAATTGAAACACAGTTTAAGGATCACAATAACACAAGGCAAAACAAGGCGTCAAATGCGTAGTAGCATCTATAAGTAACAGGTCCAAAAAAATGTCACGAACGTCCAGAATGTTTCGCTGTCGATTGTCGTAAAAAGCCATGAATTACCGTTGTGTCGCTGTTATGTACTGTAAATATTATACCTGTCTTCAAGAAAGTGCCACATCACGAAACTTCTCCAAAGATCAAGACTGTCATGTTACAGTTTATGCGAAGGGAAAACTGTCAATTATCGTACCGCTAACATCAGACCAGGGCAGTACACGACATTACACTAACTCTGAGTGACTACAAACAATCACTACAAATACACCCACAATAATCTCTACTTCCATATAAAAGTTGACACATCTCAAGCACACATTCTAATTGCTGACAAATACACTTCTTCCCCACAGTATAGTCAACATTGACACCACTCCATATGGTATAAAGCCGGCATTGACACATCTCGAGCACATTGTAAAAGGAATCAGCAAATGTTAAACCTTATTTCACATGGTGGAAACGTATATGATTATCCTGTTTTAATAACAGTGCTAGGAACATATAATACTGTACATACCCTTGATGTCCAAAGTGATACTGACTTTATGAGGCATGTAAACCTTTGAAATTTACAAATTTGCAAATGTTTCCCAGCCCAGGGAAATGCTCATATTTGAAACCCTTGTCAATATGGAACATATTGAAACATTCTAAACCGTAGGATAATCCATAGAAATACATTTGAAATACACTAGAAATTTCAGAATGTGTAGCAGTGTGGAACTGCAGCAGCATGACACGTTGTCAAACAAGAACCGTGGTTGCCCGTCAGCGAGGTAAGCTGAACCGTCATTGGTTTTAGCATTGGCTTCCCTCTCGCGGCAACCATGACTTTGCTTGTTGAATTTGTTGTTGAATCTGTTTCGGCGGATAATCAAGACTGCATTGACAGCTTATATTATACTAACACATTGGTACAAAATAGTGACTACATCGCATATATTTACGGATGATTGAGGAACGCAGTGTATACAAACACGTTTACCTTTTCCTCGGGAATTAATCGATCACTGGACATGATGTGGGTATTTTTATCATAATTTGTTGTAAATCTCAACAAAGTTTGGCTCCCTGGAGAGAAAAATATGTATGTCTGCCTGACAAACGTACCTCAACCAAAGCTCCCAGCCCTCATTTCCACCATGCACGCTCAATACAATGTCATATTTCTGTTACAGTTTAATCTAAGCCAGGTTGTAATCGGCCTACTGTACACAATCCCTCCAGGGATGTACGCCATCACAACGCCCCTGTGGGGGTATCTTATTGACGGGAAGGTATGTCAAATGTTTGGTGTAACGCTGCTTTACACACCTTTTCATCCATTTTATGGGATGTCAGATTGTGAATGGAAAGCCCCAAATGACGCAGATCGTTTATGACTTTGGAGAAACCTACGAGCACGGTTTTGTTTCTTTAGTTTGGAATAGTATGTACCCGTATCACCCACGTTGTGTACCAGATTTTACAAACTGAATGGTATTTTACATCTTCAAACCAATGGTGTACAACATACTTCTGATCGACAATTTCGCACAGCCAAGTGACAGGCCCAGTAGTTTTATAAATGGAGACGTTTCTAGGGTATCGCTGTGTCACTTTAAACACTGTTTGATTGTTTGTTTCTTGTTTAATATTACAGCTATATGACGGCGGTCTGTAAATAATCGAGTCTGGACCAGACAATCCATTGATTAAACACTGATTCTGTTACTTTAAAAATGCGACAAAACCCTTTCCATATTCACAAGAAATCTCTGCACAAAGCAGAGTCGACTGTACGATTTCGACTATATCAAGAGCATGTGTTTATGATTCACTATCACCCGTCACAAACACATGCAAGTCAAATGTTCACCTGAACATATAGTACGAGTCAAAATAGGGAACTGCATCAGACGTCATTCTGGTCACTGATGCGTCAAATTGGGAAATGTCCTCTACCATATAACGTTTTGAAAGCTTTACTGAGGCCTTGAATGTTGTAATATTGATTGGACAACTTCTGAGCAAGAGTTGTATGGCGCTCTTGAAATCTTGGCTGAAATATTTGTGGTAAAGTCCGCGTCTCTCTAAAGGCATTGGTTTCATATACTTGAAGTACTTGAGTATTTATCCGATATTTTTTTCATAATGTTGACATATCTTTGGTGAAGTAATACTACTTGATTTGGTGAGATCATTAGCAGTACGTACTTGAGGGTTTATTGGTCTAATCATGCCTATGGCGTACACGTGTTTCTCGGTGAAAGAAGTTGTTACAACAATTACACATCATTTTCGTTGTATGAACTTATGATTACCCTCTTCTTTTGTCAGGTGCCACCCACATTCTTGATAATAGTAGGTCTTATTCTTACTTCGATCTGTTGCCTTGTTTTTGGACCAGCCCCGTTTCTGCCATTTTTGCCGCAGTAAGTTTTTAATAGATAATATCTTTGCTCACGCAAATAATCAACAGATATCGCACATTCATAGTTTGAGGAAAAGGTCCATGATTTGGAAGGAATTGTTTCAGATGTAATACACTCGACCACTTATACTTTTTGTCTTTGATTTTCCCATCAGCCAATTAAATAATGTAATTCGACAACAATAAAGTGCGAGTTACATAGGGGACATTATTGTTCATCTCTAGAAAGATCTATTATTTTCAATAAGCGGGTAGTGAGTGTTATGTTTACACATTTAGAGGTAAAATAATACTCGAAATGAAAATACTGCCGTGTTGCGGTCTTGTTTTGTTTTATGTTAATAGTATATCCACTGTGTAAAAAGTGGATATGTTACTAAAATCCACTGTGTAACAACTGGGAGACAACCTTTTTATTTATATAAATATTTTATTAATATATAAGTCATTTTTTAAAATGGTATATTGTATTTCGTAGTGACATGGTGACATGCATTGTGACGTTAGTGTTGATGGGCTTGTGCTTCGCTCCAGTGGCCGTCAGTTCCATCAAGTGCCTGGTTGAAGGAGCAAGGTAAGATTCATAGTCATAGTTCAATTTTTGTGATCAAAATAATGCGGTCAGTGATTGTTTTCGTACTTTTGAAACAAAACAAATTTTAATACAATAGTACAATAGTATGTCAGCCGATCAAGAGGTGGATATGGCGAGGTGTGACCTGTGTGTGAGCCTATGTATACCACTTCTTTAATGCTGGAGTTCAATAATAAACATTGTCAGCCGATGTGTGTGAGCCTATGTACTCTTACCGCAAGATACATACATGTAGGCTGTTACACATGGTACATAACATCTTATCATATCTCTATGTCATAAAGATGAGATCTGATTGGTCAATGAGACCTTGATAAAATACGACATATCCCGCCTCGGAGGGGAATAAATTTCTCAGCGGGCGAATAAATGCCTTATACCCCGCCACGAGCAAGGCAGTCTATACGTGGATTTTTGAGAGGTGGAATAAATCCCTTATATCCCGTTTCCAAGCAAAAGGTCGCATGCTTCAATGGAAATCACGTGACACAGCACAAGCTAACCTCGCTCAATCGAACAGATGTTTCCTGTCAATTTGGATTTAAAAAAATTCTTTTTACAGTATCATATTAACTCATGGCAGTAAGATAAATTCGTTGTAGCAGGATTACTCGGGGTACATAGGCTTTTACGTTTCCCTAGTTAGGTTTTATGCGGGACGCTTAAAACCCCATGTACCCCGAGTGATCCTGCTACAACATATAATATGCCCCGACGGATAGGTTTACAACAAATGTATGTCACCGACATTCAGTCATACAGGTCCATGCAGGTAGCAAAGGTACTATAAGTCTCCATGGAGCCTAGCATGGTGACTTACCTTCAGCTGCTGGCGATCTATAGCCCTTTTTATATTGTATTGTAACATATAGTGATATCTTTTTATGGTTGTATGCTAGTAATCTGTGATATTCTAGTTATTTTACTGTCCATCGATATAGGTTTTTATTTAGTCTAAATGTATGCATTGATAATATATAACTTCTCGTCACGATATGGCTGATGCCGATGTGACGTTAGATATTAACTCACCCACTCACTCACTCACTCAATCATACAGGTCCGGAACATATGTCCGCAGTTTCACTGACTTAGCTAAACTCGTAACAGACAAGGCAATCGGACCGAGTCACTTGCCTTTACCCAATGTCTTCGGAAAAAAAAAAATCTGTCAGTTACAGAAATTCAACGACACATTTGCGAGAAAAGCAAGTTCCGATCGATTCCTCAGGCCGCAACAAATTTGTACCCTGTGTGCGAGCAAGCTGCTTAACTAAACAAGCTAGTTAGCAAGTTAGTATTTTAAAGTGAGTTAAAATAATAGCTGTATTTCTTTTAGGGTATAGTCATGTTAATACCGTAGTTCGTTAATGCTATAGTCCGTTAATACCCTTATCCGCTTATTAATAATATTTCATATTCATGTTTCTGACAGGACAGCAGCGATTATTAAATACATACTTGATAATAGTTTGTTTGTCAGCGATATAGAATGCAGAATATATTCGTTAACGTCAATAGTCAGCTGCATTATAACGGTCGGTGAATAATCGAGTCTGGACCAGACAAACCAGTGTTTTATACAATGAGCAACGTCCCAGGCCATCTTGGTAGTATGACATACAATCAATCAAGTCACCAACCCTGACCACCCGATCCCCATAGCTCCTCCGACATTGCTGTTGGCCTACAATTCTAACCCGGAATCCCAACAGTGTCATATTACACTGACGTTGGTGGGTCAACATGGAGTTGATGATCGAGACATATCACAATTGCCTGTAATTCGAGTCCGTACCAGACACACCAGTGGATGAAATTATAAGCAGCGATACACGCCATTGCAACGTGCATATTCAGCCACGTCACTGCGCATGGTCTACAGATTCTACTCGTATAGTATAAGCATTGATTCTACCCTGAATTCTACACTGAATTCCCATGGGGACAGCACCAATATAAACATGTAGCGACAATTAGGTAAGAACAGAGTCTTACCATGGCCGCCCGATCTAATCTACTCGCCTCTTATGATAAGCTATGGGTGCTGGGGACCAATACTAACCCGGGTAATCATGTGTTTCAGGAGCCTTGGTTTCGATGTGAATGGAGCTAACTTTGGAATTGTAGGAGGAGTCGTACAATCCTCGGTTTGCTTAGGGTAAGTGTTTTTCATGTCGTCAACTTGATAACGCTGGAACCTGTTAAGTGATTAGTGTAGAAATGGATAATACAGAATTTCATTGTGTTTTGTTCACTGTATATGAAGTTTATATACTTTTACGAATGTAAACAAAGGCGTTGCAAGTTTAAGGAAAGGACAATCAATATTGACAAATCAGTGGCTTAATGATAAGGACTTTACTCAATGACAGTGCGTGCAGTTTGCACGACAGCTTGCTCTACGTGTGGTCAGTTCAGAAGCGCATTGTGTAAATGGGTATGCGTGAAAGTATTGTCATAACTTTGTGAAAACACACAGTTCTATGAATCTCAGGTTATCATATCAAGTGTATATTATGTAAAACCCTCGATTATCCTCAAGGACAAAGCTTGCAAACAGCGACAGCATACTTATAATTACCTGAATTGAGAAGAAATATCTTTAGGTCAGTGAAACTTCAACTTCAAATGTCAGTGATCCTAGGGTGGGGCGCCATAGCTTTTGAGTGTCCAACATGCATATGATCACATTCATTTGCCATTTTTCTCTTAAATGCCTTCTCCTTCAAGAATGGAAATAGTGCCTTTAAACAAGTACTTTGAATACTTATGTATGGCAACAAGAGGACATGTGACAAGGCCGCATTCAATGAGTAGCATACATATATGAACTATGTCGTTTGTTACATTAAATTACAAATAACTGCACAATAATTGTTTGTATTATTATGCTTTATAATCATTAAGAGAATTCTTAATCTTGATAATTGAGGGTCAAATTCACCCGTAAGGTAAGAAATGTATTATGGTCCTGATAACAAAAGAGAAGAATCAACACAAGAGAATAATAATTCATAATAATAATAATAAATCAGTGATGACACCAGGTGCCTTTGCTTAAAACTGATGATTTTTCTTTTGCAAATACATAAAGGTGTTTCTACAAGTATCACAACGCATAATTCAACTCCTTTTAACTTAATTGGCCTAATTTATAGCATTATTAACATATTTCACCATGGGCGAGCATACATTTATATATCATGTACCAAATCAAATATAAAAGCTCTCACATTTTTAATTTGAGATTAAACCTATATATTGGACTTAATACATTTAGTTCTGGGTAAACCTTTCTGTCTGTCCATGTACGACTTGAACTTACTTAAGTAGTTTTCTTCTTTATGTTTATGCTTCTAGCACGCTACTTGGTCCACTGTTTGGAGGTTTGCTCACCGAACGTTTCGGCTTTGCCTGGATGATGGTAGCAGCAGCTATCATTGCCTTGTTTCCGGTAACATGATCATTTCCTATTTTGGCATTCTCGATCTTGTATCAGCCAATATCGTTGGTTTCAGTAAACAACAACATTAATTCTTTCACTTTTACTTGTCTCCTTAAGTGAACTTGTGCGTTGAGTTGAAAAGAGCAAAGCGAAACAGAGGAACGAAGTAAATGGTTCTTAAAAATACTATTTTTGAATCAATATAACTGATATGTATTAGTGTCTGTGTAAGAATATAATAATATGACTTTTGTGCACTTTTTTACCATATATATATATATTTGTCTTTTTGCAGTTAATATTTTTTGGTCCTTTCCTGTTGTACGCTGCGTCTGTCAAGTATAAATCGACGGATGACAAAAAGAAGTATGATAAATTGAATGGAGTGATTAACAACAACATTGCTATGACAACTTATCAATGACCAGAGAATTATCATCTGCGACAATATTGCATGACAGCGAGATCCGTACATAACGGTCAATCGAATTTACCTTTGAATTCACCAAGATTATGAACTGTGAACATTGGTGTGTCAGAGCCGAAAGCAGGACACGTTTGCAAGCTGCGTTCGTTTGGACCTTCCTCACATATACTGTTTCATGTTGTGTACTTCGCAGTACATGAATCACCATTAATGTCATTGTTTGAGATGATGTTCATCCAGACGTAAGGTGACCGGATCTACATAATCCACCATATAACGACACACTATTAATCGTCTAAGCGCCTTGGTCAAGGACGATATTATGCAACTTTACACGATAAAAAAAGATAACCTGTGTCACTCCATACGATGGAATTATAATCAATTAGCCCGTAGTTATAGGGGTGAAAAGCAAAGAATACCCATTGCATTGTGCACAAAGCCATCACGGGCTCATGTGTACTTTACCTCCGTATTTGCAGTAATCGTTTGCAAGTAACTTAACTAAGGAACAATTCAGTGTAATCGAGAGTGAAACAATAGTTGCTTTTTTTCTTTCTCTTGTGGTGTTTCGTTATCAAAATCATGTGGTAACACCATGTAAGAAAGGTCATGCGTGGTACACCTCGAGCTCATACGTATGTCATCAATCCAAAGGGGTCATTTATGGTATATTATTGCCAAATCCTGGGATAGGTGTAAATAAAGTTTACTTTAATGACAACCTCTGTCTTTATCTTGAGATTTCGGTCACTGCATTCGATTGTATGCTTTGCTGACTATTAGGTCAGTGTCACAGAATGTGGCCGCGTAGACATGATATCGTTGGTGCTTATACAGATACATCAAGTGGAGGAACACATAGAGCAGACATCATTGGCTCTCTTACAAGGTGATTGAGACTCGAATACGAAAACATGTAGCTGTTGAAGATGGATTGTCATAGATGTGATCATGAGGATTGAATCTGATCTCTAATAGCCTCAGACAACACTGTTTGTGTTTGTTTGTTGTTTAACACCGCACTCAGCATTATTCCAGCTATATGATGTACATAATCGAGTCTGGACCAGACAATCCAGTGATTGACATCATGAGCATCGATTCACGCAATTGGGACAATTAATGACACGCTCAGACAACACTTATTTCTTTCGTTGCTAGTTACATTGACATAACAGTCCACAATAATTAATACCGGACAAAGGCTGTTTTCCTGTTACATACTGATTAACCTCACACTTGTTTTCCCGTAATCTCGTGGACGAATTATCGACGACTTTTCATGAAAACTGATTAATTGGCCACAAAAGGTATTAAACTGTAAGAAAGGAAACCAAATAAATAAATAAAAACTTGCCCACCTGTATTACAGATTGGTCATCGGAGACGAGAAACATTTCCGTAGACTGGATTACTATTCCGGTTTCTGAGTGTGCCGACCTTCTCCGTGCATTCTAGGCCGAGAAGCGGTTGCACATGAGGAAGGACACGGCACATAAATGAAGCTAACAACAGGTCACAGAGTAGGTCCATCTCAGGTGACAAGAAACACCAGAAAGCAAAGTATTACAACACACATGACAAATTCCAAACTCCAAACATTACACACCCTATTGTTTAAACACAAAACACACAAGTTTCAAAGCAATCCGTTCATTCCCCACCAGTCCAATCCACATCGTCCGTATTGGTTTGCGATTTTCCAAACACAAGCAATACCTTCATAAATATGTCGTATTCACAACCTGCTAGTGCCATGGGACGGTTCATGCATGGGGGTGTTTTCCATAACTGTACCATAAACTCAACTTTGAACAGCAGTAAGTATAAATTTCATCCTCATGCTCCCGTTCAACTCGAAATACACCTGACCCGTGAAGACCTGGGGTAGAATAGGTCTTCAGCAATCCATGCATGTTTGCGGTAAAAGGCGACTATGCTTGTCGCAAGAGGCGACTCAGGGGATCGAGTGGTCAGGCTCGCTGACTTGGTTGATGCATGTCATCGATCCTAATTGCGTGGATCAATGCTCATGATATCAATCACTGGATTGTCTGGCCCAGACTCGATTATTTACAGACAGTCGTCATATCGCTGGAATATTGCTGAGTGCGTTAAACAACAAACCAACCAACCAACGAAATACACCTCTTTAAAAACGTCTGTGACATTATATATAAATCCGCACTTGAAGTTTTACCTTGCCTCAATGCATCGAGTCATGTTTATAAGCCTATTTGTAAGTTTGTCTAGAGAATAAAATTATGTTAATATTGATATATTTTCTGCTTATGTTGCATATATTCAAAGAACTTTTTTTCTTTGCGTAACTAAGTATGAATAGGGAAGGGTATGTGACCGAGAGCCGTAAAATACCGACAAAGTAACATTGTTGCAATGTTGTTCGGAGAACCCAGAGAACTTCAAAGTAAGCAATTATTGTTACGATATAATTACGATATACCAGAACGTCAGTTTGGATTAGTTCATTGAAGTGTGTGAACGATTTAAAAGCGCTGGTGAAACTCTGAGGTTCTCACAGTTTTTACCAGCGTTTTTAAATCGTTCACACGTCAATGACCCCATCCACAACTGACGTTCAATTCTTCACTATATCTACAATAATTTGTTTGTGAATTCGAGTAATACTTGGCTCCTCAGTTCTCAGCTTCCTAATGCTTCACACAGGTAATATATTTGAATTTGTGGTGCGTATATAGGAATTCATTGGTCCGGACAGACCACATGGACATTTCTCCACAGGACATTTCTCCACAGGACATTTCTCCACAGGACATTTCTCCACTGAACATTTGCTACATGGACATTTGCCCACAGGACAATTCCAAACTAAAAGTAGGACACTTACCTACACCCAACTTTTTTTATTTTGGAAAGAATTAATAAGGTAGGACCGTTATGGGACAACTGACCTAAATGCTTCTCATTTACAGAGGTATGACTACATATAAATTGAGTGAAAGACTGAATGACTGAATAATGCAAAATTTGATCACCAGATTCTCATATTTTCATCGCTTAAGAAAAACATTTTGGGTCAATTTGGGGCCTCCGGGGTAGAAGGGATCATTAGTGTCTCATTCTTGTCATACGACGTCCGAAATAGGGATCGGGGGATCAGGCTTTGTGACTTGTTAACTTGTGTGGCTTCGTACTCGGACGGCATGTGACGGTGATCAAGCCTTCAGTCACATTCGTACGCAAACAAACAAAAAAGGACTTCAATATTGAATATACGCTTTAAGAAGCTTCTGATGCCTCCCTGGAGGCACGGCTGGCTCAGACGACTAAGGCGTCGTAATTCGCTGTGCAGTTCCATCCCTTGGGCACGCAAGAAACCTCTGATTGTGGCTTCGAATCCTGGTTCGCCCCGATTATATTCTAGGTTTGTCAGAGCCATACACCTGCTCGTGGGTTTCACCAAAGTTGTAAACGTCTGCGACCTGCATCACTTCTATATTTCCTCACACATTTAGCTGACACGCACTGATAAAACTTGAATACTTTTCAGAACTTTCAATTCTGATATCCGGTAACATTGCGAATGATGAAAAGACAAAGTTACAATGCACATTTTTATTAACTTGTTTGATCTATCATAGCTATTTCTTAAATCATCCAACATTTGGGCCCTTATCATACCCGATCCTTTCTGGGGATATTGAAGAGCTAATTCAATACACATGCCTTAGCAAGACTTTAGCCAAGATAATCAATGCAACTTACGTTTAAATCAGTATCAATGGCAGCGGGTCTAACAGGTTTGTTTGTCGGGACTTTACATGCATGTGCATCAAGGTATAAGAGATGCAAGACCAAGAAGGAGCAACACCATCCAAGTGATTGCTGGCTTCTGGGACCTCCACTGGTTGGATAAATAGGGGGACTTGTGTCAGCTGGACACTCAAATGAGCGCATCGCAGCCAGGAACTTGACATCCGCGAGGGATGCGAATGTGCCAATGGATGATGTCCTGAAACTCAGTTTGTCGTTGAAACATGGATGTGCCCTGACTGCAGTTAGAGCTGGAGGACACGGACTGCAGTTGTCAATCACCTGGAACAGTGAGTGAGTGTATGGAGAATGACGATAACTTTCCCCAGGCTTCAAATACTCATAAACAACCTCAGGATGTCTGAAATAGGATAATGTTTATCCCCTAACGGAAACATCTTATTTCTAAGTAGATACCTTCGTGTCTCATGATAACATAGTATTTCGGATTAGATACCTTGGAGACTAATTCGACTCAAACGGGATGCGTTTTGTTGAAGAGCATTCCAAAGTCAACCGTACAGCTATGATCCATCAAACTGACACATTTCCACATCATCCCAAGTTATGCAGAGAGGTCTCATGTTCTCGACCAGATAAACATTTTGAACACAATACATCTCTAAAACAAGAAGGCACGTGCCTTAAAGGGTCGGTGGGTCAGGCTGACGACTTGGTTGAATGTATATCATCGCACCCCGACGGGATGGATTGTTGCTCATAACATCGATCACTGATTTGTGTTGACAAGACTCGATATTTTACAGGCTGCAGTCATTTAGCTAAATTTATTGCTGGTGCGGCAATACACAAACGCACAAACAGTACACTTACTCGTTGCATCACAGCCAGCAATGGTCGTATGATGCATCACATTAGCGTTGTCTGTGAAAGGTTGTGTTTCTATCGTATGGTACTCAACATCAGGTTCTAACATGGACAACTCAAATGTAAAACACATGTAGGTGGTTTCCTTGGCAGGGACTGAAGTCGGGGGAAACCTCAGTGTAATATTAAACACATCTGAAACAATATTAATTAAAAAAAAATTTGTGAGTGAATGAGTGAGTATCGCTCTACGCTGCTTTCAGCAATATCCCAGCAATATGACGGCGGGGGACATCAGACATGAGCTTCACACATTGTACCCATGTAGGGAATCGAGCCCGGGACTTCGGGGTGATGAGTGAACGCTTTAATGTGCACAAAATAAATGCGATCATCCATTATTATTCTTTTTAGATTACTAAACGATGATCTTCTCTGAACTTTATCTACTCACAAAATTGTATTTCCTGCTCACAAGCATGGGTAACAAGTCAGGTCGAAAAAGGCCCCTGATCGCCCTCTCGTACAGTCAACTTTCTAGAAACTGTCTCAACAAGAAACTTCTAAACGAGTCAAGTCTGCCATGTTCACCGAGGACAGAGAGCTTAAGAGCTAGCACAAAACCTGCGTTAATAGTTTCACTCGATGACACTCAGACTAGTTCAATGATTTGCTGCCACTTAAATCAACCTTCATTGATTAGATTTAAATCAACTAAAACATCATGTAACTCATTTATACAACATACCTTGTATATCTTTACTGAGTACATGTAATACAATATCTCTTCACTGCACGTAGAAACATCCCCTCACTGTGTATATCAGTGTGGAAATCAACTCATCTTCAATGCGTATATCAACTTTCCGTCATTGTGTATATCAACTTACATGTACCTTCACCGTGGATGCCCCTTGTCTGTGAAAGGTTGAATTGCTATCGTATAGTACTCAACATCAGGTTCTAACATGGACAACTCAAATGTAAAACACATGTATGTGGTTTTCTTGGCAGGGACTGAAGTCGGGGGAAACCTCAGTGTAATATTAAACACATCTTAAACAATATTAATTTTTTTTTAAATTGTGAGTGAATGAG